ACTTCCAGTTGTGTCCCCTTGTTGCTGTGTCCCATCTCTGAAACATCCTGTCCTTATCCACTGTCAATTCCTCTCAGTATTTTATATGTCGTTATCATGTCCGCCCTATCTCTCCTGTCCTACAGTACTGTCAGATTGATTTCCCTTAAATCTCTCCTCGTAGGACATGTCCCTTAACTCCGGGACTAGTCTTGCTGCAAACCTTTGCACTCTCTCTCTAATTTCTTGACTTGCCTGACAAGGTGTGAATTCCATACTGGTGCTGCATACTCCAGCATGGGTCTGACGTACACGGTGTACACAGTCTTGAACGATTCCTTACTGAGGTGTCGAAACGCTATTCATAGGTTTTCCAGGCGCCCATATGCTGCAGTAGTTATCTGGTTGATGTGCGCCTCAGGAGATGTGCTCGGTATTACACTCACTCCAAGATCCTTTTCCTTGAGTGAGGTTTGCAGTCTTTGGCCCCCTAGTCTGTACTCTGTCTGCGGTATTCTTTCACCTTCTCCAGTTTTCATGACTTTGCATATGGCGGGGTTAAACTCCAGGAGCCAGGATTGCAGACTGTCAAGATCCGTTTGTAGTCCAGCCTGATCCTCATCAACTTGAATTCTCCGCATTAGCTTCACATCGTCTGCAAACAGGAACACCTCTGAATCTATCCCTTCCGTCATGGCATTCACATATACGAGAAACAGCACTGATCCTAGGACTGAACCCTGCAGAACTCAGCTCTTCACAGACGCCCACTCTGATACAATGTCACGTACCATCACTCTTTATAGCCTTCCTGTCAGGTATTCTCTGATCCATTGGAGTGCTTTTCCTGTTATTCCTGCTTGCTACTCTAGCTTTTGCACTAATCTCTTGTGTGGGGCTATGTCGAAGGCCTTCTTGCGGTCCAAGAATATGCAGTCTACCCACTCCCCCCCCTCCTCTCTCTCTCTCTCTCTCTCTCTCTCTCTCTTCTCTCTCTCTCTCTCTTGTCTTACTTCTCTCACCTTGTTGTAAAACTAACAGGTTTGCGACGGAGGATTTCCCCTCCCTGAAACTGTGCTGGTTATCATGTATAATCTCATTCCTCTCTAGGTGCTCTACCACTCTTTTCCCGATAATCTTCTCCATGACTTTGTATACTGTGCATGTCAGTTATACTGATCTGTAGTTTATTACCACCTGCCTGTCTTCTTTCTTAAAGATTGGGACTACATTTGCGTCTTCCACATCTCCGGTAATCACCCTGATTCGATGCATGTGTTGAAGATTGTTGTTAATGGCACACACAGTGCCTTTGCTCCCTCTCTCAGGACCTACGGAGAGATGTCAGATTCCACCGAATTTGAGGTATCTAGCTCACTTAGCAGCCTTTTCACCTCCTCGGTTGTGTGTAGTATATCCAGCACTTGTTGGTGTACCCCACCATTCCGGACTACTGTAGTCCAGTCTGTCTCCCCTCCTTCCTTCCTCAGTCTGATTACTAGTCCTTGACTGTTGTTTTCCTTCTGATATGGCTGTACAACAGCTTTGTGTGTGTGTGTGTGTGTGTGTGTGTGTGTGTGTGTGTGTGTACACAGTATTCCCTTCAACCAGTGCTCCCTGCACTTCGATGCCAGAGAATAGCTCTTAGTCCAAGGAAATGGAGCTCTCTTTTTCTTCATTCTCTTTAAGAGAGGTTCCTTGATGCTGATGAGGGGCTCTTGATCCAAGGGATAGGACTTATTCTCCCCTTCCTTGGATCAGACCTGACTACCTCTAATTTTTCCAAGATTCCAGTTATCTGTAATTGAAACAAGTAACCCAGAATTAATAACCCAGTCCTACGATCTAACTTCATGGTACCATAGGATACCAATCCTACGATCTACCTTCATGGTACTATAGGATACCAGTCCTACAATTTAACTTCATGGTACTATAGTATACCAATCCTACGATCTACCTTCATGGTACTATAGGATACCAATCCTTCGATCTACCTTCATCGTACTATAAGATACCAATCCTTCGATCTACCTTCATCGTACTATAGGATACCAATCCTTCGATCTACCTTCATCGTACTATAGGATACCAATCCTACGATGTACTTCCATGGTATAATAATATAATAATCTTCATTTTTACAAGTACAAGATACAGTATATATTAATCTTCAAGCCAAGTCTGCGACCAGTCCTGCAACCAGTCCTGTAACTAATCCTCCAACCAGTCCTGCGACCAGTCCTGTAACCAGTCCATCAACCAGTTCTACAACCAGTTCTGCAACCAGTCCACCAACCAGTCTACCAACCAGTCTACCAACCAGTCCACCAACCAGTCCACCAACCAGTCCACCAACCAGTCCACCAACCAGTCCACCAGTCTACCAACCAGTCTACCAACCAGTCTACCAACCAGTCTACCAACCAGTCCACAAACCAGTCCACCAACCAGTCCACCAACCAGTCCACCAACCAGTCCACCAACCAGTCCACCAACCAGTCCACCAGCCAGTCCACCAACCAGTCCACCAACCAGTCCACCAGTCTACCAACCAGTCTACCAACCAGTCTACCAACCAGTCTACCAACCAGTCCACAAACCAGTCCACCAACCAGTCCACCAACCAGTCTACCAACCAGTCTACCAACCAGTCCACCAACCAGTCCACCAACCAGTCCACCAACTAGTCCACCAACCAGTCCACCAGTCTACCAACCAGTCTACCAACCAGTCTACCAACCAGTCTACCAACCAGTCCACAAACCAGTCCACCAACCAGTCCACCAACCAGTCCACCAACCAGTCCACCAACCAGTCCACCAGCCAGTACACCAGTCCACCAACCAGTCCACCAACCAGTCCACCAACCAGTCCACCAACCAGTCCACCAGCCAGTCCACCAACCAGTCCACCAACCAGTCCACCAGTCTACCAACCAGTCTACCAACCAGTCTACCAACCAGTCTACCAACCAGTCCACAAACCAGTCCACCAACCAGTCCACCAACCAGTCTACCAACCAGTCTACCAACCAGTCCACCAACCAGTCCACCAACCAGTCCACCAACTAGTCCACCAACCAGTCCACCAGTCTACCAACCAGTCTACCAACCAGTCTACCAACCAGTCTACCAACCAGTCCACAAACCAGTCCACCAACCAGTCCACCAACCAGTCCACCAACCAGTCCACCAACCAGTCCACCAGCCAGTACACCAGTCCACCAACCAGTCCACCAACCAGTCCACCAACACAGGTCTCTCCTACCTTGTGTAACATCTGCTTGATTTCAGTACACACCAGCAATGACGCCAGTTTATAAATATTCTTATTATCTGATATTGCCAGAACAAACTTTATGAATACTGAACACATTGCATATGAACATTACCAGACTGAACTACCAAATGGAAGGATGCTGGTGGTGATGTTTTGTTGGTAAGGAAAACGAAATGTGTCACTTCCCGATGTGGATATTTGTATCCTGATCAACCCAAGCATTGCCAAGATAGGATTTCAACTATTTAGGATATAAAGAATTACAATATTGTGCCCTAGGATAGGATGGTTAGTTAATGGGGTATAAAGACTATCTACTATACTATACAAAACTTACATTAGGGTATATACACCTTTCAGTATATATATATATATATATATATATATATATATATATATATATATATATATATATATATATATATATATATATTATATATATATACACCAACAGGTGTATATACCCTAATACTGGGTATAAACACCTCTCGGTGTATATACCTTGTATTGGGATAGTTAATGAATGGCAGTATTAAAGTCATTATGACATCCAGTCTGATTTCTGACCCGTATAAAATTAAAATTGTCTAACAGATTCCTAGATAAACCCCATTTAAAAAAAATAATTACTGTTTTCCTGCCCCCCCCCCCTAGGTATATCTCAGAAACTTCCCTCTATTTAAAAACCATAGATGGATCTTAGCGTATGCTGGCACATACTTTGCCTTGGCAGGAAATCCCAAAATTAATTCTTTCCGCCAGGGCACCCTGAAATCTATGCCTGACCCTGACACACCCTTCATGAAGGATGGTTATTCATGCTTTGTTGTCGTTGCATTAACTGCAGACTCCACCGTGTCCTTCCAGGATGGTCAGCAGTATTTTTTTCAAACTTCAGTTTTATAGACTAGGAGCTTTAACACACTGCAGCTATGCAACAGTTAGGTATCTTTATATCGAAACGTTTCACCTACACAGTAGGCGAAACGTTTCGATATAAATATATATATAAATATTATTATATATATATATATATATATATATATATATATATATATATAATATATATATATATATATATATATTATATATATATACTATATATATATATAATATATATATATATATATATATATATATATATATATATATATATATATATATATATATATAGTTCCGAGGCATTAGAGGAAAAAGTACCAAATATCACAACTTTCAATGAACATTTTGTATATGATAGCTACATTATGGGAAAAAATTAGATATGTCTCATCTTCAAGCCTGGATGTTGATGAAAGCTCTTGATCAAAGGATAAAGATCTATGCTTCTCTTCAAAATAAACCAAAATGATCTATCACTTCCCTTTCGCCAGGCAACATATAACCCTGACGGATTTAACGCTTCCCCATGAACAACAATGGATCTCTACTCCAGAAGGCTCCAAAATCTACTGAGAAAATCAAAAATTCCCCCCACGAGGTATTATAAGACTGGTCAGATCCTCACAGAACCTTGTAAAAAACCCTTGACACCAATATACTAAATATTTATGGCATGTTATTGGCAATTTTTTCCCTTAAGTTCACATGTTAAAAAAAATAATTATAGATTTTGGAAATGTCCTAAACGAAAAAATCCAAATCAAGGTAATTTTTGTTACAAATTGTAGTTTGTTGAATAAATTCCGCGAGCTAGCAACTATGATAACACCGTGGGTATATAAAGCAGGTAAAGTGCCCGTTTCCTGCCCAGTTGTAATTCACTAGTTGTTAGTCCGTTATAGCAAGGTAAGGTTACCATCTATAACGCATCTATAGCCCACCATACTCTGGGCTGCTGTATATGTCATTCTTCACTTAAAAAAGTTTGTTGTGTGTGTAGTCATCTATTTGTGGTTGCAGGGGTCGATACATAGCTCCTGGCCCCGCCTCTTCACTGGTCTCTACTAGCTCCTCTCCTTGCTCCATGAGTTTTATCATACCTCGTCTTAAAACTATGTATGGTTCCTGCCACCACTACGTGTGTCTTGACAATGGTTTTAAAGGAGATGGAGATTCACCTGTATTATTTTTCAATATATAGACACTACCTTCAGAGGGACAAGAGATAGAACCTTACCTGTGTGGGGTTTTTTTTTTAGGGACATTAGGCCTAGTAATCACATTCCTCATCATTCCCCTCACTGGAGACACCAATTAGTGAGGCCTATGCTTATGCCTACTGACGAGGCTATACATTCAAAATTCATTTTTTTTATTTCTTTGCACAGTATACAGTGTGTATTTTACATATAATAAAATACTGTAAACTCAAAAATAGCCACTAGTATACATGAATATTTCGAGCAATGATAATATATATTTCTGAAAAGGTGTGTTCCAATATTATAAACATGATTAACCAACTGTTTCAATTTTTGGGTTAAAATTGACCCAATGTACATAATCACCATTGTATATTTGCATCATTTATGTGTCTTAAGAACCATTGTTCAAATTTATTATACTCTTTCACTTCTGTCGAAGATTTCCTGAATGAAGGTTATCTTATTTCACTTATCTCTCCTTGTCTTAGCTTATTTTGTCTTATTTAATCTTATCGAGTGTGTTATAGATGCAGGTTATCTTATTTCACGTTATCTCTCCTTGTCTTAGCTTATTTTGTCTTATTTAATCTTATCGAGTGTGTTATAGATGCAGGTTATCTTATTTCACGTTATCTCTCCTTGTCTTAGCTTATTTCGTCTTATTTAACCTTATCGAGTGTGTTATAGATGCAGGTTATCTTATTTCACGTTATCTCTCCTTGTCTTAGCTTATTTCGTCTTATTTAATCTTATCGAGTGTGTTATAGATGCAGGTTATCTTATTTCACGTTATCTCTCCTTGTCTTAGCTTATTTTGTCTTATTTAATCATATGTTGTGGTGTTACAGATGCTGGTTGTTGTGGTGGTGGCAGTGATGGCTGGGTTGGTCTCCGCAAGACCCCAATGGAACTTTGGTGGTTCAGGAGAGAATTTCGGGGGCTACGACCCCTACTACGGCTATGGTGGCTACGGGGGCGGCTTCGGCTACAACGATTTTTACGGTGGCTTTGGTGGCTTCGATCAAGGGTTTGGAGGTGGCTTTGGTCAAGGGTTTGGAGGTGGCTTCGGTGGCTTTGATTTCTTCAAATAGTTGTGCACCTCACTGCTCGAGTTGACAGTTTTATCTTATAATGAAACGCAGGACAGGGTTTCTCCAGTAAGCCTACTGGCTTATGCAAGCCATCTACAGTAAGCCTAATAGATTACACAAGCCATCTACAGTAAGCCTACTAGATTATACAAGCCATCTCCAGTAATCCTACTCGATTACACAAGCCATCTACAGTAAGCCTACTAGATTACACAAGCCATCTACAGTAAGCCTACTAGTTTATATAAGCCACCTGCAGTAGGCCTACCATACAAGCCACCTGCAGTAGGCTTACCATACAGGTCACCTGCAGTAGGCCTACCATACAAGCCACCTGCAGTAGGCCTACCATACAGGTCACCTGCAGTAGGCCTACCATACAAGCCACCTGCAGTAGGCCTACCATACAAGTCACCTGCAGTAGGCCTACCATACAAGCCAGGTTCTGCCCATCACCAACCATAATAAACTTTAAACATTTTTCTTAACTATAACAATAAATTAGCCAATAAATATTATAAAAAAATAATGCGATTTTCCAATATTTCAATATTATCTTTCCGTGTTATATTAAACCCGTTCCATAAATAAAAATTAATGATATAAACAGTTTTATTTTTGGTCTTATTAAGCCTGCATCGAAAGGTTTAAGCTTGCTTTAACCTGCAGCTCACAAGACTGCCATCCCCACGAGCCCCTTTAGGGCGGGGTAGATGGCAGACCAGAGGCCTAGCTTCTCCCTACGTGCCCCGTGAGGGCGGGGACTGTGGCTAGGCCTGGGGACAGTTGGTCCCAAAGATGAGGGGGTACTTGTACCTCCTCCCATGGGAGACTTAGGTCTCGAGATACTCCCCAAATAGGAAGCCAAAGCCGGGTCACCACTATTTGGAAAACACCCGGGCCGGGAGAATACCGGTGAATAAGAAAAAAAAAAAAGGAGACACTTGTCCTCCTGACGAATATCATGAAACAATTCACCTGCCTTCTCGCAGGAGCCAAAATCAATTAAGAAACAGATCCTTGGCTAAAAGTTCCTCACATAAGCTAGTAATAATAATAATAATAATAATAATAATAATAATAATAATAATAATAATAATAATAATAAGAATAAGAATAATAATAATAATAAACTTTATTTCTATGTGATACAACTTATACAGACCATAGCTCACATCAATGATATAATAAGGAGTACTAACCTAGATACGGATCTGCCAGATATTTAAAATATATTGTATCCATAGTATTTTTCTTTACATCTACATGCTAATAAAAAAAATATATGTATTTTTGTTATTTGATAAACAAAAGAGAATAAAAATTATTACTATAAGACGTTTAGAATTTTATTCACAAAATATAGTTTTTTCTATAAATTCTATGAACTAACAACTTATTTAAACACCTTGAGTAATGAGGATCTAAAGTAGCGCGAGGACCTCTTGTGCCCAGTTGTTGTTCTGGCTGTTAGCGAGGTGAGTTTGTTGGTGGTTGTTACACTACTGTAGCAAGGTGGTGTTACTGATGGTTGTTACACTACTGTAGCAAGGTGGTGTTACTGATGGTTGTTACACTACTGTAGCAAGGTGGTGTTACTGATGGTTGTTACACTACTGTAGCAAGGTGGAGGTGCTGTTGGTTGTTACACTACTGTAGCAAGGTGGAGGTGCTGATGGTTGTTACACTACTGTAGCAAGGTGGTGTTACTGATGGTTGTTACACTTCTGTAGCAAGGTGGAGGTGCTGATGGTTGTTACACTACTGTAGCAAGGTGGTGTTACTGATGGTTGTTACACTACTGTAGCAAGGTGGAGGTGCTGTTGGTTGTTACACTACTGTAGCAAGGTGGAGGTGCTGATGGTTGTTACACTACTGTAGCAAGGTGGGGGTTACTGATGGTTGTTACACTACTGTAGCAAGGTGGAGGTGCTGTTGGTTGTTACACTACTGTAGCAAGGTGGAGGTGCTGATGGTTGTTACACTACTGTAGCAAGGTGGAGGTGCTGATGGTTGTTACACTACTGTAGCAAGGTGGAGGTACTGATGGTTGTTACACTACTGTAGCAAGGTGGTGTTACTGATGGTTGTTACACTACTGTAGCAAGGTGGTGTTACTGATGGTTGTTACACTATGTAGCAAGGTGGAGGTATGATGGTTGTTACACTACTGTAGCAAGGTGGTGTTACTGATGGTTGTTACACTACTGTAGCAAGGTGGAGGTACTGATGGTTGTTACACTACTGTAGCAAGGTGGTGTTACTGATGGTTGTTACACTACTGTAGCAAGGTGGTGTTACTGTTTGGTTGTTACACTACTGTAGCAAGGTGGTGTTACTGATGGTTGTTACACTACTGTAGCAAGGTGGTGTTACTGATGGTTGTTACACTACTGTAGCAAGGTGGTGTTACTGATGGTTGTTACACTACTGTAGCAAGGTGGAGGTGCTGTTGGTGTTACACTACTGTAGCAAGGTGGAGGTGTGATGGTTGTTACACTACTGTAGCAAGGTGGTGTTACTGATGGTTTTTTACACTACTGTAGCAAGGTGGAGGTGCTGTTGGTTGTTACACTACTGTAGCAAGGTGGAGGTGCTGATGGTTGTTACACTACTGTAGCAAGGTGGTGTTACTGATGGTTGTTACACTACTGTAGCAAGGTGGCGGTGCTGATGGTTGTTACACTACTGTAGCAAGGTGGCGGTGCTGATGGTTGTTACACTACTGTAGCAAGGTGGTGTTACTGATGGTTGTTACACTACTGTAGCAAGGTGGAGGTGCTGATGGTTGTTACACTACTGTAGCAAGGTGGTGTTACTGATGGTTGTTACACGACTGTAGCAAGGTGGAGGTGCTGATGGTTGTTACACTACTGTAGCAAGGTGGAGGTGCTGATGGTTGTTACACTACTGTAGCAAGGTGGAGGTGCTGATGGTTGTTACACTACTTTTAGCAAGGTGGTGTTATGATGGTTGTTACACTACTGTGGCAAGTCTGAAGGTACTGATGGTTGTTACACTACTGTAGCAAGGTGGAGGTGCTGATGGTTGTTACACTATGTAGCGAGGTGGAGGTGCTGATGGTTGTTACACTACTGTAGCAAGGTGGAGGTGCTGATGGTTGTTACACTACTGTAGCGAAGTGGAGGTGCTGATGGTTGTTACACTACTGTAGCAAGGTGGAGGTACTGTTGGTTGTTACACTACTGTAGCAAGGTGGTGTTACTGATGGTTGTTACACTACTGTAGCAAGGTGGAGGTACTGATGGTTGTTACACGACTGTAGCAAGGTGGAGGTGCTGTTGGTTGTTACACTACTGTAGCAAGGTGGTGTTACTGATGGTTGTTACACTACTGTAGCAAGGTGGTGTTACTGATGGTTGTTACACTACTGTAGCAAGGTGGAGGTACTGTTGGTTGTTACACGACTGTAGCAAGGTGGTGTTACTGATGGTTGTTACACTACTGTAGCAAGGTGGTGTTACTGATGGTTGTTACACTACTGTAGCAAGGTGGAGGTGCTGATGGTTGTTACACTACTGTAGCAAGGTGGAGGTACTGATGGTTGTTACACTACTGTAGCAAGGTGGAGGTACTGTGGTTGTTACATACTGTTAGCAAGGTGGAGGTACTGTTGGTTGTTACACTACTGTAGCAAGGTGGAGGTACTGTTAGTTGTTACACTACTGTAGCAAGGTGGAGGTACTGTTGGTTGTTACACTACTGTAGCAAGGTGGAGGTACTGTTGGTTGTTACACTACTGTAGCAAGGTGGAGGTACTGTTGGTTGTTACGCTACTGTAGCAAGGTGGTGTTACTGATGGTTGTTACACTACTGTAGCAAGGTGGAGGTATGTTGGTTGTTACACTACTGTAGCAAGGTGGAGGTACTGTTGGTTGTTACATACTGTAGCAAGGTGGAGGTACTGTTGGTTGTTACACTACTGTAGCAAGGTGGAGGTACTGATGGTTGTTACACTACTTTAGCAAGGTGGAGGTACTGTTGGTTGTTACACTACTGTAGCAAGGTGGAGGTACTGTTGGTTGTTACACTACTGTAGCAAGGTGGAGGTACTGTTGGTTGTTACACTACTGTAGCAAGGTGGTGTTACTGATGGTTGTTACACTACTGTAGCAAGGTGGAGGTGCTGATGGTTGTTACACTACTGTAGCAAGGTGGTGTTACTGATGGTTGTTACACTACTGTAGAAAGGTGGTGTTACTGTTGGTTGTTACACTACTGTAGCAAGGTGGTGTTACTGATGGTTGTTACACTACTGTAGCAAGGTGGTGTTACTGTTGGTTGTTACACTACTGTAGCAAGGTGGAGGTACTGTTGGTTGTTACACTACTGTAGCAAGGTGGTGTTACTGATGGTTGTTACACTACTGTAGCAAGGTGGAGGTACTGTTGGTTGTTACACTACTGTAGCAAGGTGGTGTTACTGATGGTTGTTACACTACTGTAGCAAGGTGGAGGTGCTGTTGGTTGTTACACTACTGTAGCAAGATGGTGTTACTGATGGTTGTTACACTACTGTAGCAAGGTGGAGGTGCTGATGGTTGTTACACTACTGTAGCAAGGTGGTGTTACTGATGGTTGTTACACGACTGTAGCAAGGTGGAGGTGCTGATGGTTGTTACACTACTGTAGCAAGGTGGTGTTACTGATGGTTGTTACACTACTGTAGCAAGGTGGTGTTACTGATGGTTGTTACACTACTGTACCAAGGTGGAGGTACTGTTGGTTGTTACACGACTGTAGCAAGGTGGTGTTACTGATGGTTGTTACACTACTGTAGCAAGGTGGTGTTACTGATGGTTGTTACATACTGTAGCAAGGTGGAGGTGCTGTTGGTTGTTACACTACTGTAGCAAGGTGGAGGTACTGATGGTTGTTACACTACTGTAGCAAGGTGGAGGTACTGTTGGTTGTTACACTACTGTAGCAAGGTGGAGGTACTGTTGGTTGTTACACTACTGTAGCAAGGTGGAGGTACTGTTGGTTGTTACACTACTGTAGCAAGGTGGAGGTACTGTTGGTTGTTACACTACTGTAGCAAGGTGGAGGTACTGTTGGTTGTTACACTACTGTAGCAAGGTGGAGGTACTGTTGGTTGTTACGCTACTGTAGCAAGGTGGTGTTACTGATGGTTGTTACACTACTGTAGCAAGGTGGAGGTACTGTTGGTTGTTACACTACTGTAGCAAGGTGGAGGTACTGTTGGTTGTTACATACTGTAGCAAGGTGGAGGTTTACTGTTGGTTGTTACACTACTGTAGCAAGGTGGAGGTACTGATGGTTGTTACACTACTTTAGCAAGGTGGAGGTACTGTTGGTTGTTACACTACTGTAGCAAGGTGGAGGTACTGTTGGTTGTTACACTACTGTAGCAAGGTGGAGGTACTGTTGGTTGTTACACTACTGTAGCAAGGTGGTGTTACTGATGGTTGTTACACTACTGTAGCATGGTGGAGGTGCTGTGGTTGTTACACTACTGTAGCAAGGTGGTGTTACTGATGGTTGTTACACTACTGTAGAAAGGTGGTGTTACTGTTGGTTGTTACACTACTGTAGCAAGGTGGTGTTACTGATGGTTGTTACACTACTGTAGCAAGGTGGTGTTACTGTTGGTTGTTACACTACTGTAGCAAGGTGGAGGTACTGTTGGTTGTTACACTACTGTAGCAAGGTGGTGTTACTGATGGTTGTTACACTACTGTAGCAAGGTGGAGGTACTGTGGTTGTTACACTACTGTAGCAAGGTGGTGTTACTGATGGTTGTTACACTACTGTAGCAAGGTGGAGGTACTGTTGGTTGTTACACTACTGTAGCAAGGTGGAGGTGCTGATGGTTGTTACACTACTGTAGCAAGGTGGAGGTGCTGTTGGTTGTTACATACTGTAGCAAGGTGGAGGTGCTGTGGTTGTTACACTACTGTAGCAAGGTGGTGTTATGATGGTTGTTACATACTGTAGCAGGTGGAGGTGCTGTTGGTTGTTACAACTACTGTAGAAAGGGTGGAGGTGCTCTTGGTTGTTACACTACTGTAGCAAGGTGGTGTTACTGATGGTTGTTACACTACTGTAGCAAGGTGGAGGTATGATGGTTGTTACACTACTGTAGCAAGGTGGTGTTATGATGGTTGTTACACTACTGTAGAAAGGTGGAGGTACTGTTGGTTGTTACACTACTGTAGCAAGGTGGTGTTACTGATGTTTGTTACACTACTGTAGCAAGGTGGTGTTTACTGATGGTTGTTACACTACTGTAGCATGGTGGTGTTATGATGGTTGTTACACTACTGTAGCAAGGTGGTGTTACTGATGGTTGTTACACTACTGTAGCAAGGTGGAGGTATGATGGTTGTTACACTACTGTAGCAAGGTGGTGTTACTGATGGTTGTTACACTACTGTAGCAAGGTGGAGGTGCTGATGGTTGTTTCACTACTGTAGCAAGGTGGTGTTACTGATGGTTGTTACACTACTGTAGCAAGGTGGATGGTATGATGGTTGTTACATACTGTAGCAAGGTGGAGGTACTGATGGTTGTTACACTACTGTAGCAAGGTGGTGTTACTGTTTGGTTGTTACACTACTGTAGCAAGGTGGTGTTACTGATGGTTGTTACACTACTGTAGCAAGGTGGTGTTACTGATAGTTGTTACACTACTGTAGCAAGGTGGTGTTACTGATGGTTGTTACACTACTGTAGCAAGGTGGAGGTGCTGTTGGTTGTTACACTACTGTAGCAAGGTGGTGTTACTGATGGTTGTTACACTACTGTAGCAAGGTGGTGTTACTGATGGTTGTTACACTACTGTAGCAAGGTGGAGGTGCTGATGGTTGTTACACTACTGTAGCAAGGTGGAGGTACTGTTGGTTATTACACTACTGTATCAAGGTGGAGGTACTGATGGTTGTTACACTACTGTAGCAAGGTGGTGTTACTGATGCTTGTTACACTACTGTAGCAAGGTGGAGGTACTGATGGTTGTTACACTACTGTAGCAAGGTGGTGTTACTGATGGTTGTTACACTACTGTAGCAAGGTGGTGTTACTGATGGTTGTTACACTACTGTAGCAAGGTGGTGTTACTGATGGTTGTTACACTACTGTAGCAAGGTGGAGGTGCTGTTGGTTGTTACACTACTGTAGCAAGGTGGTGTTACTGATGGTTGTTACACTACTGTAGCAAGGTGGTGTTACTGATGGTTGTTACACTACTGTAGCAAGGTGGTGTTACTGATCGTTGTTACACTACTGTAGCAAGGTGGTGTTACTGATCGTTGTTACACTACTGTAGCAAGGTGGTGTTACTGATGGTTGTTACACTACTGTAGCAAGGTGGAGGTACTGATGGTTGTTACACTACTGTAGCAAGGTGGTGTTACTGATCGTTGTTACACTACTGTAGCAAGGTGGTGTTACTGATGGTTGTTACACTACTGTAGCAAGGTGGTGTTACTGATGGTTGTTACACTACTGTAGCAAGGTGGAGGTGCTGATGGTTGTTACACTACTGTAGCAAGTGGTGTTACTGATGGTTGTTACACTACTGTAGCAAGGTGGTGTTACTGATGGTTGTTACACTACTGTAGCAAGGTGGAGGTGCTGACGGTTGTTACACTACTGTAGCAAGGTGGTGTTCCTGATGGTTGTTACACTACTGTAGCAAGGTGGTGTTATGATGGTTGTTTACACTACTGTAGCAAGGTGGTGGTACTGATGGTTGTTACACTACTGTAGCAAGGTGGTGTTACTGATGGTTGTTACACTACTGTAGCAAGGTGGTGTTACTGATGGTTGTTACACTACTGTAGCAAGGTGGTGTTACTGATGGTTGTTACACTACTGTAGCAAGGTGGAGGTGCTGACGGTTGTTACACTACTGTAGCAAGGTGGTGTTACTGATGGTTGTTACACTACTGTAGCAAGGTGGAGGTGCTGACGGTTGTTACACTACTGTAGCAAGGTGGTGTTACTGATGGTTGTTACACTACTGTAGCAAGGAGGTGTTACTGATGGTTGTTACACTACTGTAGCAAGTTGGTGTTACTGATGGTTGTTACACTACTGTAGCAAGGTGGAGGTGCTGATGGTTGTTACACTACTGTAGCAAGGTGGTGTTACTGATGGTTGTTACATACTGTTAGCAAGGTGGAGGTGCTGATGGTTGTTAACTACTGTAGCAAGGTGGAGGTGCTGATGGTTGTTACATACTGTAGCAAGGTGGAGGTGCTGATGGTTGTTACACTACTGTAGCAAGGTGGAGGTGCTGATGGTTGTTACACTACTGTAGCAAGGTGGAGGTACTGTTGGTTGTTACACTACTGTAGCAAGGTGGAGGTGCTGATTTTTGTTACACTACTGTAGCAAGGTGGTGTTACTGATGGTTGTTACACTACTGTAGCAAGGTGGTGTTACTGATGGTTGTTACACTACTGTAGCAAGGTGGAGGTACTGATGGTTGTTACACTACTGTAGCAAGGTGGTGTTACTGATGGTTGTTACACTACTGTAGCAAGGTGGAGGTACTGATGGTTGTTACACTACTGTAGCAAGGTGGTGTTACTGATGGTTGTTACACTACTGTAGCAAGGTGGTGTTACTGATGGTTGTTACACTACTGTAGCAAGGTGGTGTTACTGATGGTTGTTACACTACTGTAGCAAGGTGGAGGTGCTGTTGGTTGTTACACTACTGTAGCAAGGTGGAGGTGCTGATGGTTGTTACACTACTGTAGCAAGGTGGTGTTACTGATGGTTGTTACACTACTGTAGCAAGGTGGCGGTGCTGATGGTTGTTACACTACTGTAGCAAGGTGGTGTTACTGATGGTTGTTACACTACTGTAGCAAGGTGGAGGTACTGATGGTTGTTACACTACTGTAGCAAGGTGGAGGTACTGATGGTTGTTACACTACTGTAGCAAGGTGGAGGTACTGATGGTTGTTACACTACTGTAGCAAGGTGGGGGTTTACTGATGGTTGTTACACTACTGTAGCTAGGTGGTGTTACTGATGGGTTGTTACACTACTGTAGCAAGGTGGAGGTACTGATGGTTGTTACACTACTGTAGCAAGGTGGTGTTACTGATGGTTGTTACACTACTTTTAGCAAGGTGGAGGTACTGATGGTTGTTACACTACTGTAGCAAGGTGGTGTTACTGATGGTTGTTACACTACTGTAGCAAGGTGGTGTTACTGATGGTTGTTACACTACTGTAGCAAGGTGGTGTTACTGATGGTTGTTACACTACTGTAGCAAGGTGGAGGTGCTGTTGGTTGTTACACTAACTGTAGCAAGGTGGAGGTGCTGATGGTTGTTACACTACTGTAGCAAGGTGGTGTTACTGATGGTTGTTACACTACTGTAGCAAGGTGGAGGTGCTGATGGTTGTTACACTACTGTAGCAAGGTGGTGTTACTGATGGTGTTGTTACACTACTGTAGCAAGGTGGAGGTACTGATGGTTGTTACATACTGTAGCAAGGTGGAGGTACTGATGGTTGTTACACTACTGTAGCAAGGTGGAGGTACTGATGGTTGTTACACTACTGTAGCAAGGTGGAGGTACTGATGGTTGTTACACTACTGTAGCAAGGTGGTGGTGCTGATGGTTGTTACACTACTGTAGCAAGGTGGAGGTACTGATGGTTGTTACACTACTGTAGCAAGGTGGAGGTACTGATGGTTGTTACACTACTGTAGCAAGGTGGTGGTGCTGATGGTTGTTACACTACTGTAGCAAGGTGGAGGTGCTGTTGGTTGTTACACTACTGTAGCAAGGTGGTGTTACTGATGGTTGTTACACTACTGTAGCAAGGTGGAGGTACTGATGGTTGTTACACTACTGTAGCAAGGTGGAGGTACTGTTGGTTGTTACACTACTGTAGCAAGGTGGAGGTACTGATGGTTGTTACACTACTGTAGCAAGGTGGAGGTGCTGTTGGTTGTTACACTACTGTAGCAAGGTGGAGGTACTGTTGGTTGTTACACTACTGTAGCAAGGTGGAGTTACTGTTGGTTGTTACAAGGTACTGTAGCAAGGTGGAGTTACTGTTGGTTGTTACAAGGTACTGTAGCAAGGTGGAGTTACTGATGGTTGTTACAAGGTACTGTAGCAAGGTGGAGTTACTGTTGGTTGTTACACTACTGTAGCAAGGTGGAGTTACTGTTGGTTGTTACAAGGTACTGTAGCAAGGTGGAGTTACTGTTGGTTGTTACAAGGTACTGTAGCAAGGTGGAGTTACTGATGGTTGTTACAAGGTACTGTAGCAAGGTGAAGCTGGAACTGGTTCATTATAATGGGTTAAACCTGCGTAACTGATCAATGAGTTCATTTATCTTATTTTATTGTTTTATTGACTTACATAGGCCCTGTGAGAATGGGACACATTGAGATTCGATACAAGGAAGAAGGCGGCAAGTCAGGTGCCTTAAGAACCATTGTACAAGTTTATAATATTCTTATATACTTTTGTAGATTTAATGAGCGAAGCTTATATTATTTCTTATCTTTTCTTGTCTTATAGTATTTGATCCTATCGTGCGTGTTGCAGATGCTGACTTTAGTGTTGTTGGTGGTGATGGCTGCGCTGGTCTCCGCCAGACCCAACTGGAACTCTGGCCGTTCATGGAATCACTTCAGGCGCCACTACCCTCACCGCTCTGGTGGCTACTGGGGCGGCTTCGGTTACAACGACTATTACGGTGGCTTCAATCAAGGGTTTGGAGGTGGCTTTGATCAAGGGTTTGGAGGTGGTTTCGATCAAAGGTTTGGAGGCGACTTCGACGATTTCGATCAAGGGTTTGGAGGTGACACCGGCGGCTTCGATCAAGGGTTTGGAGGTGACATCGGCGGCTTTGATCAAGGGTTTGAAGGAGACATCGGCGGCTTTGATGTCTTTAAGTAGTGTTCCTCACTCCTAGTTAGCTGTACTACGATATTCTATTGAACATGAGAGTGGTGCACTGCAGTACAGCTAAGGCAAATCATCTTCAATAGGCCTACCATGCTAGCCAGGTCCCCCTCAAAACCAACAACAATGCATTAAACCATTTTTAATACCGTGACAATGATTTAAGGTAATAATGATTAAAAAGGTAATGAACACACACATAAGAACATAAGAATGGAGGAACATTGCGGTAGGCCTACTGGCCCATACAAGGCATGTCCTTCTCTAACCCAACCATTCCCACCCAACCACTTGTCCAGCCTTCTCCCAAGTACACACACACACAGTGCAGGGGTCAGGAGCTATTAATCCACACTAAGGGAGGGACGAGGTTCTTTGATTACAGTAAAGAACTCTTCTGTTTTTTCCTATCACTCCTGATTGCTTACACTTATTCCACTCCCTAGGCGCTGTAGGAATTGAAGAAATCCCTGTTGTAGGAAATTTCTATTAATAAAATGCTGTAACTCTGTAATTGTGTCTTTATAATCACGTAACATAAGTTGATTGGATAATTGCGATTATCTAGGCTGGAATATTGCTGCACACTAACAGCACCTTTCAAGGCAGGTGAAATTGCGACCTAGAAAATGTACAGAGAACCTTCACGGCGCGCATAACGGAGATAAAACACCTCAATAAATAACAAAAAGGCACAATACCGTGACTGGAACGATACACAAATAACCCGCACATAAAAGAGAGAAGCTTACGACGATGTTTCGGTCCGACTTGGACCATTGACAAAGTCAATGGTCAATGGTCCAAGTCGGACCGAAACGTCGTCGTAAGCTTCTCTCTTTTATGTGCGGGTTATTTGTGTATAAAACACCTCAATTACTGGGAGCGCTTGAGGTTCCTAAACCTGTATTCCCTGGAACGCAGGAGGGAGAGATACATGATTATATACACCTGGAAAATCCTAGAGGGACTAGTACCGAACTTGCACACGAAAATCACTCACTACGAAAGCAAAAGACTTGGCAGACGATGCACCATCCCCCCAATGAAAAGCAGGGGTGTCACTAGCACGTTAAGAGACCATACAATAAGTGTCAGGGGCCCGAGACTGTTCAACTGCCTCCCAGCACACATAAGGGGGATTACCAACAGACCCCTGTCAGTCTTCAAGCTGGCACTGGACAAGCACCTAAAGTCAGTTCCTGATCAGCCGGGCTGTGGCTCGTACGTTGGTTTGCGTGCAGCCAGCAGCAACAGCCTGGTTGATCAGGCTCTGATCCACCAGGAGGCCTGGTCACAGACCGGGCCGCGGGGGCGTTGACCCCTGGAACTCTCTCCAGGTAAGCCTACCTACTACACGAGGTCCACTGAGACTGTATACAACCTGTTCAACACTAGTCAAGGATACTTCAGTTCGTTAATCTGTCATTAAACTTAGTGTATATTCACTGAGAGATATAACACCTCACGGTGTGTATATCCTGGGTCTGGCTGTAGTAAACATGATTGTTCTAGACTTATGCTATGTAGATATCTTTATTGTTCATATATGCTATACTTTTTCGTGCATTGTACTTCATATATTATATTCCGTGTATAATATTTCATGTATTATATTTCATGTATTATATTTTCGTGATTTCTCACATTTCCTTGATAATGTGAGAAATCACGAAAGCACTTGGATGCTCACCGTTTTTTTCACAACACATGATATATATATATGTATTATATAATATATATATTATTATATATATATATATATATATATTATATATATATATATATATATATATATATATATTATATATATATATATATTATATATATATATATATATAAGGAATTCGCAAGAGCAGGCGAAATATACACAAACACTGATCTCTGACTGAAGGAGACTCGAACCTACGAACCTTGGAACAAGGTACGCAGTGCTGTAGTGTGGTGAGATTGGTATAGCACTGCGTGCCTTGTTCCAAGGTTCGTAGGTTCGAGTCTCCTTCAGCCAGAGATCAGTGTTTATATATATATATATATATATATATATATATATATATCATGTGTTTGTGTGTATATATAATTTTTAATTTTCCTGGTTTGTATACACCTGGTGATATTTGAGAAATATTGATAAGACTTTATCAATAACAGTTAAAATTAAATGTTAAAAAAAGACTTTCTGGATATCATTATTTATTTCAAAGTTTCCATTTTTCTACGTATTATTTTTAGTAGTGATAATTGAGGAGTGTAATGAGTGCCGTTAGTGCAAGAGTAAGAAGGAGTTTCAGGAGTTGTTAAGTGGTAGTGGAGACGGTGTGTGAGGGGCTCCTGGGAGCCCCCATTGTACTTCTGCAGTGGTGAAGAACAGCCTGGGCTCCTGGGAGCCCCCATTGTACTTCTGCAGTGGTGAAGAACAGCCTGGGCTCCTGGGAGCCCCCATTGTACTTCTGCAGTGGTGAAGAACAGCCATAGGTGCATAAATAAATAAATGTGTCGTCGTTGTCATGATAGAAGCCATAATGGCTACTTGTCATCCATGTCTTACTGGCTGTGTTGTTGAGATCTTCCATCATCCAGCTTTCCAGCTGTCTTAACCAAAGTACGGATTGTAGGGGTTGAAATATCCACCGCCAAAATAGGGATTGAAGGGAGCGAAGTTGCCGTATCCGTAGCCGTAGCCGTATTTGCCATAGGGGTTGAGGAAGCCTGTGATGGCACCCTCGGCAGCCCCGACCAGATTAGGCAGTAGAAACCTCTGGGTACCCACCCCACCCGCTGCCTCCTGAGGCCTACCACAGACCAGGCTGGCTACACAGACCAACACTGCCAACACTGTCAACACTCGCATCTCTGCAACAATAACAAATATATGAATTTATATGTAATTATTAAACCTCTATCTTATATAGAGAGAGTTAGATCTCTTTAAAGGTCTTGTATATAGAGTTAGATATCTTTAAAGGTCTTGTATATAGAGTTAGATATCTTTAAAGGTCTTGTATACAGTGCAGTGAAGGCATATCCACACGTTAAATAACTACTCTGTATACAAGAGCTTTATAAGGGAGTTGACTGTATAACTAAACACAAAACAGTAATATTTATTAGACCAACGTTTCCAAATGAAAACAAAACAGAGAATAGGAAGAGTATGTATATTTCAACTCAACAGTAAACAGAAGAGGGGCTCAGTTTAGGTCGAAATATATGGTACTATGTGTATCTATCTGTTTTATTTTCTCTATGTAGGTTTATGTCACCTCTAAGTACCATTAGGTAGGTTTATGTCACCTATAAGTACCATTAGGTAGGTTTATGTCACCTATAAGTACCATTAGGTAGGTTTATGTCACCTATAAGTACCATTAGGTAGGTTTATGTCACCTTTAAGAAAAGATTAAGTACGGTTTGTTAGGAAACAGGACAAGTGTCTTAGTCATATGATGACCCGCAGCTGGAGCTTTTGGTCATCTGACCGAGGCCTTCCACTGGCTTACCCCTCCACCCCTTTAAAAACCATGGTTATGATTATAACCATTTAGCTCAATATGTCACCTACAAGTACCATTTACTTTATATAAAGAGACTTACTGTGTCCGTTCTAGCTGGTGTACCGTAAAGGAGGAGGTATCTTACTGTAGTATATATAACAATACAACACTACTCTTATATACACCCGTCACCCAAATTCATTAAGTGCCAGTTAGTGAATTTCCAATGGTATGCCGGCACTCATTACTTTCTTTGATATTACATAATTATATTCCAATTAAAAACGTCAAGATTATAAATTTAGCAGCTCAAACATATTTTGAAAAAAATTAATTCGAAATATGGGGCAATTATAAACATCCATTGTTTTTATATTAAAAAAAAAAAAAGAAAAAATATCTTTTGCTCATGTGAAATTAATTTAAACCATTGTTTGTGTATTGCCTGTGAGTGCTCTGACCAGCGGAAATAACAAATATCACATGAAATTATAGAATATTGAAGTAAAAGAGTGTTTGTGTTTATTGAAAGTGTAAGAGTTGGCAGTAGTTGGCATCCAGAGACAGAAAGAGAGGGGTACCTCAGGGCTGCTGGTTGACCAAGGTCCTCTCTTGTTCTCTCCGCTCGAATTTCACTTCCTATGGGAATCCCACCTGCTGCTTGGTATTCCCACCTGCTTCCTTCGTCGCTATCCCACTTCCTTCCTTACCCCTGCGCTCGGTTTATCATTTTTTTGTAATCCTTTTTGCAATTTTGGAGGCGTACTAGCGTTTCAGCTCGCTTTAAAGGTCAAGTCAAATATCAGGTAGTTTGGACATGTCCCCCAACACCACCCCTTTACTTTCTTACACCTACGAGTTACAAATTTGTAGTTAATTTAAAACCAACGCGGAGCAAACAGAAGGATATTTATTAGGTTTTTTTTTTTTTTTTTTTTTTTTCAAGAAATTTTTTTTTTTTTTTTTAAAAAAAAATTGGGTTTTGGGGGGTTTTTTCGGGGGTCAACCCCCCCGGGCCGGTCTGTGCCCAGGCCTCCTGGTGGACAGCCCTATCAACCAGGCTGTTGCTGCTGGCTGACGAAAACCAAAACGTACGACCCCACACCCCGGCTGATCAGGAATGATTTAGGGCTTGTCCAGTCCCAGCTTGAAGACGCCAGGGGGTCTGGGGTAATCCCCTTATGTGTGCTGGGAGGCAGTTGAACAGTCTGGGGCCCCTGACACTTTTTGGGTATGGTCTCTTTAACGTCTAGTACACCCCTGCTTTTCATTGGGGGGATGGGCATCGTCGCCAAGTCTTTTGCTTTTGTAGGAGGATTTTCGTGTGCAAGTTCGGGACTAGTCCTCGGATTTTCCCGGGGTATATAATATGTATCTCTCCCTCCTGCGTTCCCGGGATCAGGTTTAGAAACCCAAACGCTCCCAGTAATTTTAGGTGTTTTTTTCTCCGTTAGCGCGCCGTGAAGGTTCCGTACATTTTTTTAGGTCGGCAAATTTTACCTGCCTTTTAAAAGGGGCTGTTAGAGGCAGCAATTTCCAGCCAATGAACAAGTGTGAAAGTGCATCATGGGGTTGGCCTCCAGTTTTGAGGTTCTATTACCATCTGTCATTTTTCGCAGATGCGATTGAAAATGTTTTGTCCTTTAAGGTGAGTCCTCCGACATAATCACTCCCAGGTCTTTGACGTTGGTGTTTCGCTCTATTTTGTGGCCAGAATTTGTTTTGTACTCTGATGAAGATTTAATTTCCTCATGTTTACCATATCTGAGTAATTGAAATTTCTCATCGTTGAACTTCATATTGTTTTCCGCAGCCCACTGAAAGATTTGGTTGATGTCCGCCTGGAGCCTTGCAGTGTCTGCAATGGAAGACACTGTCATGCAGATTCGGGTGGTGGAAGGCAGTCCCCACAACTATTGATAATTGAGACACTTAGAGCAGAGCAACTCTAAAAGTTTGTTTATTATCTTTTTTATGCACCCCATACTCATCCTGTGGGCGGTAGTCAAAAGATTACAGAGGTACATAATGGGTACAGGAACTGGACCCCAAAGTTATGATAGCTGAACTAGTTACACAGGTAAGGAACTCCAGGTAGATCCGGTCACAGTCATGGCAAGTTACAAAGGTAACGACTCTAAATCTGAATTAATTTTTAGGAGAGATGTTAAACGAGTATTTAGGAAGTTTTGAGCCAAGCGAGAGAGTCACTGTGGTAGGGGACCTGAATTCTAAACTGGGAGAAATGGCAAGTTTCAGGTGCCAGGGAGTAAATGATATTGGCGAGAATTTTCCATAGAAAGAGGTCTGGTAATAGGTAATTTATATTTAAAAAAAAAAGATGATAAGTATACGAGATATGATATAAGGCGTAATGACAATTAGATTAGATTAGATTAGACATTTTATTTTGATAAATTACATGGTTGTACAGAGGAATATAACAGTTAACAGTTGGGTGTACATGCCAAAAGTCCCTCTGTATGTTAGGTAATGTATTTGGTATATAAAAAGTTGATGGGTAGACTTTGGATGTGCATATTTAGAGGTTAGTTTTAGTTTAATATGTTTATTATGCACCCCATACCCATCCTGTGGGCGGTAGTCAAAAGATTACAGAGGTACATAATTGGTCCAGGGACTGGACTCCAAAGTTTTGATAGCTGAGCAAGTTACAGAGGTAATGAACTCACAATTTACAAAGGTAATGATATTTAGAGGGGCCACAGATATATCAGGGAAGAAGAGCGATTGGTGGAATGAAGAGATAATGAAAGTGGTAAGAGAGAAAAAGTCAGCACATGAGAGGTTTTCGCAAAGCAGGAATGATATAAGAAAGGAGGAGTATATGGAGAGGAAGAGAGAGGCTAAGAGAGTGGTAAATGAACGTCAAAAAGAGAGCAAATGAGTGGGTGAGGTGCTATCAACAAATTTTGTTGAGAATAAGAAAAAGTTTTGGCGTGAAATTAATAAGTTGAGAAAGCCAAGGGAACGATATTACTTTAGCTGGTTGGTTAATTGAGTTTAAACCCTACCGGCTACACGAGTGTCAGTAAGGCTGTATGTAACTTGTTCACCACCAGTCAAGAATACACCTCTCACTACAAGGTGAACAGGGACAGTAGGTGTAAGGAAACATGGCCAACGTTTTTCCGTCACAGGTGAAACATTGAGCATATTTCCTTACACCTGCTGCCTCTGTTCACC